CCCTCCTGCCCAGGCCCTAAAGGAAGCCCATTCAGCCCACATTTTTCATGAGGATGTAAATGAAAGTTGGACTCAGGGCCCTGCTAAGCCTGCCTTTCTCACAGGCTCTGCCTCTGTCCTTTGAGCCCTCTGCTTCCTAACCAGCTGACGGATGCCACTGGGGCACACTTTAGCTCATGAGGAATAAAGGGGGCACTTCTGTGTCCTGCCCTCGTTCAGGGCAGGTCAGCAGGCTCCCAGGGCACATTTCTATCCTCTGTGCCTGATTGCAGCCCCACAGTCCATGTGCCCCTCTGTCCTCCCTCCATGAGGGTCCCTTGTTTCCCCACACCTGGATCTGGGGAGGGTGAGCTCTGTTGCTGGTGGCTGCCCCTGGGTACGTGTTCTCTTGAAATGCTGGGGTCTCCAGCTCCCCCCCATTTGCAAACTCCTCTTTAACCTGGACCTCCCGGTAGGGTTTTCTGGCTACTGTATCCACATGCACCTGGCCCTTTTTCATTTTTAATCCCAAGAATGCTCATTCTACCCTGTTCTGGTGGCTTCCACTCACTACTCGCCCAGCCAAAGGAGCAGAGGTACTGGCTTTCTCTACCATGACCCCAAATAGCCACATAGAGTTGCAGAACATTCAGCTAGAGGGGCTCTCAGAGAACACACATCCCAAACTATTTTATAGATGAGGAAGCTGAGGCTCAGAGAGGGCAGCCAACATGCCCAGAGTCACACAGCAGTGCAGAGCAGCTCAGGACTAAAATCAGGTCTCGACTCCCGGCCAGTGGTTCTTGCAGCTACAGCAGACCACTCGGCCATGTCTTTCTTTCCTATTTACTTCTCTTTATGACTTTCTCTTCCTTTCCTTTTCTACTGAAACGTTTCCTTTTTTTCTCTGTGTTAAGCAGGATGGCTTGCATTTGGTGGCACCAAGCTGATACTCAGAGCCAAGGCTCCTGTCCTGGCACAGTTTTCATCAGTCCTCTTCAAAGATTTTTCTCCTTCTTGGTTCCTCATCCCCCGGGATCATCAGGGACCCAGTCCGCTCCTCTCCCTGAACCAGCCTCCAGCTCCTGTTTCTCCTTCCAAGTTCCCAGGAGGCAGATGGGAACCCTCAAGGAACTGTCTCCTCTCCTTAACCTCAGTTTCCTGGTCTTTAAAGTGGAGTGAGGGTCTCTGGCATTTGTGTATGTGTCTGCGTGCAGGTGTGTGTGTGTACGATACGTCATGTGTCTCCCGGCAGCTCCTGGGGGTACATGGGAAAGTTAATAAGTGCCAGGATGAAAGGTGCTGTGGGATAATTGCAGGTAATATCAGGAAGGCCAGGAGAGTGGAGCTAAAGGCCCCTAGACCTCCTGGGGGACGGTGAGCAGCCCCTAGCCCCACTCCTACAAAGCAGATCAGATACCTGGAGAGGCGGGGGAGGGGGGGAGCATTCTGAGTGAAGGGTCTTTGTCTTTACAGGGAAATGCCTGTTAGTTGCTAAGGAACTGGGTTGTCTTTCCTGATCCAAGCCTCCCAGTGTTTTGCTGAGCTTGGGAGGGGGATGCTGGGCTGGGGCTTGAGGCTCCCTAGGCAGGTGGCCCTTTCCCTGGGGCTGCTGACACTCTGATGGGTCTCTTGGGAAGGACTCTTATCTGGGGAGGGTGTGCTTTCCCATTACTGGCAGCTTCACTGCCTGCCCCAGCCCAGCTGGGGAGCAGAGCAGGTGAGGGGCAGGCAGGGAAGCAGAGGAAAACACACATTTACTGAACAGCCTGCGTACTAGGCATCGCGCCGGGTGCCTTCTGTGCCATCTCATTTAACCATTGCCGCAGATCTCTAAGGAAGGCACTTATTTCCATTCGTTTTCTTTCTTCTTATTGTTGGTTTTTTGTTTTTTTGCAGTTGAAACACTCTTGTAGAACAGTTGAGTAAGTTGCCCGAGGTCACAGGGCTATTAAGTGGTAGAGACTCTCTGTGGATCTAGGCGTGCTAAATAAGAAAAGCTGTGCTCTTTAAATTACATCACCTTATGGATGGAGCAGCCTTTCTTCCCATCCCAGGGATGCTCAGCTTCAACGCCCGAACCCACCACCACCACCACCACCACCTCCTTATTCTCAGGAAGTCTTCCTGTACGTCTCTCGCTCCTTTCCCGCCTCGCTCTTAGCAGTTATTACACAGGCAAGGTTCTGGGAGTGAGAAGGGTGAGTCAGAAGACTGAGAGTGGTAAACTGTTGGGGTATTTGCCTTGGGCAGGTTGGGGGGGTGGTCATGGCCTTGAGATGCGCCAGGCCCTTGCTGTGAGTGTGCAGGAGCTGGCCCTCCCACAGATCACACTTGGTCTAGAATAGCGAGGCTGGGGGAAGGGAAGATGCTTGGGGGAGACGCCCCTTAAGTTCTTTTGGAACTTCCAGCCTTCCTTCTTGGCCCACCTGGCTTCTGAATAAATACAAGTTCTGGCCTTTATTTTCTGTAGTTAGGAGAGTACAATTAGAGTATAGTTTACCTCTGAGTACTCCAAGTGGGAAGGCCTACACTGGCTTCTACCATTACTAGATGTGGAAGAGGGAGTAGGTTCCTTAACTGATCAGAATGTCAGTTTCCTCATCTAGAAAATGAGAATCACGACACCTACACTACTGGGTGGTTGTGACAGTCGAATGAGGGAGTGTGTATGAAGGCCCGGATAGGCTGTGAAGCCGGGCAGGAATACATTAAATGAGACGCCGCAGGTCAGGCATTTGGCATGGTGCCTGGTATACAGACAGTGCTCAACAAATGGCATCTGCTAATGATGATGGTGATGATAATTCCAGTTCTCCTCATCCCTGTAAAGGGGTCACAAGTACCCCCGTACATTTTTCTTAGCTGCTTTGTTCGGGATCTCGAAGCAATCTACGTGCTCACTTTGTTTCTTCCTGGAGGAGGCAGCGAAAAGGCAAGGGGTAAGAGGCCCAGGCCTGAAGCCTTCTGCAGGCAGAGAGCTGAGTCAGGTGGGCTTCCCCAAGATCTCCGGACCTCCAGGTTTCCCCTCCCGGCCACTGAACTCTCCTCTGTGGCTTCCAAGGATGTTGGGCAGGGTTGGCTTCAGCCTACAGTCTGGGCTGGTTTTGTTCTTTTTTCACATTTTGGGGCCTGGAGGGTGGGGGTCTTTTCTGCAACTGAACTAAAAGCACAAAACACCAGGGGAAAAAGAAAGCCGGGTTGGGGGGAGGTGGGGGGGCGGTGGAAGGAAGGAAAGCAAGCCGATAATTTCCTCGAAGGATAAACATCCGATTTTTTTTTCTTCACCCAAAATAAACATGCTAGCCACAAGGAATTAAAAGCAGAAGAGGGGAGGATGTGTCTCGATTTGGGGCTGCTCTAGGAAGCTGACCTGCTATTTATGCCGGCCTTAGCCACCAACCGGAGCTGCCAATTACACTCCGGGCTGATGGGGTGGGGGCTGTGGGGAGAAGGGCCCAGAGAGAGGGAGGTTCACACACACATCCCTGCCAGGGCTGCCTTCCACAACACTGCAAACGGACACTTCCTTTTGCTACTTTTCGTAGCTCTGCTAATAAGCCTGCCTGGCGGAGTACAGGAGAGTGGAGAGTTCCTACTGCCTGGGCTGGTGTCAAAGGCCCTTCTACAGAACAGGAGCTTGGTGTCTGACACGGAGGCAGGGAGCCGAATGTATCCGTGGTAGGGGGAGCACCGTCCAATACCGTCTCCATCGCAAACTCGGTCTCCCACCTCCTGGTGTTCTTCAGATTCCCACCGCTGAAACCTTCCCACGAGTCAGGAGTGTGCTTAGCTAGGCTGAGGGGTTGGCCGGGGCCCCTTGCTGTCCAGTTAATGTAGGGCAAGGCTCTAAGAAGGTAATAACCCCGTGCCCAGCTGTGGCCTGCCCCTTTCCTCTGGGTATCTCAGGGCCTTTGCACGCATGAGCCACCCACATCGCTGTATGCTAGCCAAGGATGGGGAGTAATTAACTCTTGGAGGGAAACTGAGCGAGGGGGAGCTTCGTGAGGGGGTGGCGCTGAGAGGACTGGAGCTGGGGTGGGGGAGGCGAGGAACCAGGGTTTAGCCTGGGAGTGAGACCAGAGCAAAGAGGTGCCTCCAAGGGGTTTTTGGGTGGGAAAGCCAAGAAACCTTCAGGACGTCCAAGGCAGTCAGGATGCCGAAAGTCCTTCCCTGGTAGATACAAAGGAGTTTCTTCACAGCTTTCTAAAAGCACAAATCAGGTTTTCCCACTTCTCCCCTCTGATCGGCTTATCATTCAACGACTTCCCATTGCTTTCAGGGTACAATTCTGGAATGCTGATTCCTGGCCTGTTCTGGTCTTGGCCCATCTGTCCAGATGGCCGTGATTTTGGCCTTTCACGGCTCCTGTCACTCACAGGAGCTCCGAGGTGTTGTCTCTCCTCTTTATCCGCTGTCCCCACTCCCAGTTAACCCCTGCCCTGCTTCTCAGCCCTGAAGTTAAATATTGCTTCCTCTGAGAGGCCTTCCTGAGCCTTTGCCACCCCTTCACCCCCCATCACAAGGTAGGTCCCACCTACACCCTCTCAGAAGACTTGCCACATTTGCTGGGATTTGCTGGTGATCATCTGATGTTTTCCCTCCCATATGGACTGGAAGTTCCAGGAAGCAAGCCTCATGCAGGGCCTGCCCTGGTCGCCCAGGTCTCCCCAGCATCTAGCAGGAGGTCAGGCACACACCAGATGCTGACAATGTTTGTCTAATGAATGGAGTTGAATTTCGGAGCTGGAAAGGACCGTGGTGAGGACAAATTGCCCCCTACCTCCTCTTCCTCCCTGACTTTAGAAAGGATAAGTGACTTGCTCAAGATCACACAGTGTCTCGATGACAGTTCAGGGCTGGGGATCCCCACTCCCTGACTGTCCGTCCATCCTTCCCAGCTTCCCTCCCTAGCCACCTGCATTTACAGCAACGCCCCAGGCCCCAGCACTGAACCCTGATGGATCTCCTCTCCCTGGTTTTTGAAGGAGGACAGGTTTGGAAACAAAACATCCAATTGGTAAGCCCTGGATGATTTTTTTTTAATTCTGAAGAGAAGGGGTTCGATACCCAGAGAGGGTTCCATGCCCGGACCGTGGGTGGTAAGCACTGTGGACACATGTGCAACGGTGAAGCCTGAGGTCTGGCGGGCAGTTACCTCGGCTTGGGTTTGTCCTGGAGCTCGCTGCTCCCTCTTCCCCGGGTCTGGAGGTTGGGCGAGTCCTGGTAATACTGGGTCATGAACTGGGTGCTTGCTTCTGGTTCGCCTAGGTGGAAGCGGCTCAGGAATTTGTTCATTTTCCAAAAGCCTGGAAGGACAAGTGAGAGAGAACAGAGGACTTGAGAGCTGGCGGGGGTCTGAGAGGGAGGCCAGCTCTGGGGAGTGGAGGTAGCAGGTGACGACATTGGACACCGGTCTGAGGGCAGCAGAGGCCTAGCTGCTAGGACGGCCCCTGGATGGCGGCCATGTCTGGGAAGGGTGCTTCCCAGAGTACAGTGGGGACTAAGAGTCTGGACTGAGTCAAGGACGGCCTTTGATCTCTCTCCTCAGGCCTTTATTTGGCATAACTGGCTTCTCACTTGTATGCAGAAAGGAAATGCCCAGTCAGGTGGGCTGCCCACTTCCTCCACCCCCCTCTCTTTTCCTGCAGGCTCTTCTGACCCCGTGACTAAGGACTGAATGCTTCCTTTCTTCATACCTGCTCACCCCGGATGCCGGGCTGAGACTGGCAGAGTGTCTGCACCATTCTTCCGATCCCTCCCTAGAACCCCGGCCCCCTCCTCCCGGGTCCCAGGAAATATTGTGCAACAGGATGCCTTCCCCGGCTGTGGCAGAGGTGAGGGGGCAGGGCATATGGCCAGGTCACTTCTCCCTGCCCCTAGGACCTGGATCCCGGAGAGGAGTGGAGGGGAGCATGGGCGAGGTATCCCCAGCCTGGACCCTGGGGAAGTCCAGTGGCTGCCCAGGTCAGAGGGGGCCTCCTTGAGCGGAGAGAACCCAAGGGCGTTGGGGGGAGGTGCACCTTCTGGAGCAAGTGTCAACAGGCCTGGCAGCAGGGCAAGGAGGGCGCAGCCCCGGGCACTAGGGAGAGACTGAGGGAAGTGGTCAGAGGCATATTCCCACGCTCTTGTTTCCCAAACCCCCGGCCTCAGGCACCCTCAGCGGATGATCGCCAGATAAAATACAAGATATCCAGTTCAACTTGGATTTCAGACAAACAACGAATAATTTGTTAGTATAACTATGTCCCACATAGTGCATGGAGCATATTGATATTAAAAAATAATTCCTTGTGCCTCTGAAATTCAAACTGAACTGGATATCCTGTATTTATTTATTTCATTTTTCTCTTTTTCTGCTAAATCTAGCAGCCTTCCCTGGATGGAAGGACGACTCAGGGAAGACCTTGCTTGGAGCAGAGATAGACAGTGGCTGATATAGCCTGAATCAAAGGAGAACAATAATCTCCAATACACAGAGAGGGTGGGGCTGGGGCTGGCACCTCGAATTCCTCCCTGAGCTGCCCCTTTACCCACCTGTGGTCCTTGATCGGCACCCCCTTCCCTTTTCAACAGTGAAGACAGCAAGTCCCCTCTGCCTGCCCTCCCATCTCCCCAACTCCCCCCACCCCGGGAGTTCTCTGCATTTCAAAGATGTTGTCAAGGAGAGGACAATTTTTAATCCAAAGAAACAAAACAATGATAATGCTAATAATAATAGTATTAGCAATGACACCAATATAGTGCCTCCTATGTGCCTGGCGGAGTTCTAGGGACACCACACAGAGTCACTTAATCCTCACAAGAGGAGACTATCTTTTATTCCTGGGGCACAGATGGGATGACAAGGGTCACAAGACCAGGTTCTGTTGAGGAAGCTTCTTAGGGGCAGGGATGGGGGAAAAGGGCCTCTATGGGTTCCCTCAAGTCTTATGTGGCTCTGTGACTATGCATCAAATGGAGCCTCTGAGGGCTGGAAAATAGTGCATCAGGCCTTCTCTTGGGGGATGGGCTGCACAGGATGGGCTGCTGCTGGGCTGGGGGCTTCCACTAGGATGGGAGGGAGGGAGGGAGTAAGGGAGGGAGGAGGGGCTGGCCTGGCTGTGGCCTCTGCACCCAGGGAGCCTGGCTGGCTGGAAAAGTACTGTAGTGTCATGACCCTGGGAAAGTATGTGTGTGCACGTGTGAGCACGCAAGCCAGGGAAAGGGCTCATGGGTGAACTGGTGTGTGCAGGCACGGGGACGAGGGGGCCTTCCCCTCGGAGCAGGGCAGGAAGGAACCCGGTGGCAAGGAGGGAATTGAAACTCATCACGAGATCAGGGCGAGTTGGCGGAAGGAAATCCCCTGGCTCCCCTCTCCCAGCCGTCTGCTCTCCCCTCGCTCCCAAGACTTCTCTTGACCGAGCTTGGAGTGCCCGTGGGGCCGCACAGCTCCTTCTGGGTTCCATTTCCAACAACCCTGTGGTTCTTGGGCTTCTCGGGCAGCTCCTCAAACCAGCCCCGTCTCTCAGGAGAGCGGGCACAGTGCTGCCAGCTGCTAACCTCCGCGGCCTCCTCCCCTGGCTTGGCCGTGACTCCTTACACCTCCGTTTCCTGCCACAGAGGGCGAGAGGAACTGACCCTGTGCAAGTTCTAGAAGGAAGGGGGTGAGTCAGGCCCTCAGGGCTGTGTGGGGAGAGATGAGGAGCTTGGAGGCTGTGGCATCTGTGGTCACCGCGTGGAGGGAAGCCCCATCCTGCTTCCCTGAGCTGCAGGGAGGCCGCTGCCGCAGGAAGAGGGTGGCACTGCTGTCTGGGCTCCGGCCACTCCCCTTGTACCATGGACCCACCCAGGATGGGCCCTTTGTGGGACAAGGATGGGGTGGTGAGTGCACTTCAAAGGCCTCTGCGGCAGCAGAAGGCCTCCGGCTGCAGGAGAAAGGAGGAGGGTATCTGATGTCTCCTTCCCGAGCCAGCGGCAAGACAGAGGCCTGGTCTCCTCAGGACGAGGCTGCCACACATGATGTGCAGTTTGGTCCCTGTACAACCCTAGGGGGTGCTGTTTTCATCCCGCAAAACCATATGCAAGGGCCATTCTCTCACTTGCTGGTCTGTGCTGATGGGGAAGATGTTAGCGATGAGAGATGTTAGATGTTAGCGATGCTCCTGACACAGGCTGGAGGTGGGGAGCGGGGAGAGTTAGGTCACCTCAAGTAAAGCCATGAGGAGGGGGTGTTCTGAGTGTGCTCTCCCCGAGATGCTGGGAGGGAGTGAATGAGCCCTGTCTTCAGCAGCTGGGGAGGGCTCCAAGTTTTACAGAGGCTCGTCCTCTGAGTTTGAGTCCCAGGGACTGCAAGGCTGGAATGTACACAAATGGCCCTGGGGTAGGGCCTGACAGCCCATCTCTTCACACCCAGTCTCCCATGTGTGTGGGATTGGCTTACCACTGCTTGGGAGTGGTTCAGCACAGGGGATGGACAGCCCTATTGGGCCCCTTAGGGTTAGGAGGCATCCAAGAGACTGAGAAAGTGATGCTACATCTGGTCTAGCACCTCCCCTGCCGACCCACCCCAGCCCCGCGGGACTCTGGAGAACGGGGTGGATGGTGCCTCCGCTAGAATTCAGAAGCTCTGAGCTGGAGGGGATCTCAGACCCTGGGATCCAGGTCCCCCAACACTGACAGCTGCTTACAGGGTCTGCCAGGGCTGGGGCAGGACTGCTTTATCCAGGCCCCACTCCTGCCCTCGACTTTGTGAGACAATTAACACTGGACTAATAACAAGCCAGGCCTTTGTAGGGTGGCCTCAGCCAGCAGCACAATTCGCAGCCCTGGCAGACGAGGTCCCCTTCCTCACAGTGGCCCTGGAGTCTCTCCAAGCAGGAAGCCCACTCAAGACGTCCCAACAGCATGGGACAGTGTTCCCTGTGTGTCCTCGCTTCCACTTGACTTGTCATTTGGTCCTCAGTGGGCCTTCAAGTGTTCCCACTTCCCTGGGAAGTGGGAGTTGGGAAACCCTCACTGGGAGGGAGGTTCCCACTCTCAGGTGGCCCCCTCAGCTTCTGCTGGCATCCGGCTCCGAGCTGCCCTGTCACCCCAGGCCACCCTCTTCCCTGGCTTCCCCTTGCCCTGCCCCTGCGCAGGGGCTCCAGGGTTTCCTGTCAGGGGACAGTGGCCCTGAAGAGAAGACCAAAATTGAACACCAGCCTAATAAGCGCCCCACCGAGCTCCGGCTCAGGTCTGTAATTTGTCTGGCTCTTCACGGGGCTGGCCGCGGTTGATAGGAGCGCTGATGCCTTTCTGCTGAGATTAATGATGTCCCAGTGTTGGTGGGCGGGAGGCCTGAGCCTTTTATTTTTTGTGCCATTAAATGACATCCAGAGACTTCCACTCAGGAGCTGAAAAGCCCTCGTTCCATCACATCCAATTACTCCTGGAGAATATTTGCTGAGTGGCTGATCCCGCTGGCTTCAGAGGCTTGGGGCAGAGGGGACCACTTTGACTTTGGCGGGAGTGAAAGGGCAGGGATGCTGGGGGAGTTTCCGAAGTGTGGAGGGGTTATTCCTGCTCCTCTGGAGAGGAGAACCCAGGAGATCTGGAAAGCAGAAGTTCGATGCCTAGTTATCCAGTAAGTGGATCACCCAGGCCTCCTCCTTCCGTCCTTTTGCTGGGGACGGGGTTGGGGGAGGGAGCAAGAAGGGAGACACGAAACTGTCCACTTAGCCCCGTTATCAATTCCAGTATATGGTGGTGCCGATGGCTGGCTGGAGTTCCAGGAGAAATTCGGGGACTATCTGCGGTTTCCCGATGCTCTGTTCAATATAACTTTGGACGGCTGATGTTTGGCTTGACTGGGGCGTGTTCTGAAGAGGGCTGCCTGGGGCCTGTGGAGATGGCAGGCAGTTCCTAGCTGGGGTGCCTGTCTGAGAGGTGCCCAGGATGGCCCCATCTGGGCCGCTGCCAGGCCCCCAGTCCTACCCGCTCTGCCAGGTGGGTGGGGCCCTTTGGAGGCAGAAGAGGGCTGCCTGACACAAGCCCACACAGTGACTCAGGGGCTGGGCCCCGGGGGCTTCTGGGGCCTGGCCGGGTGAACCACCATGGGAGGTCATGGGGTGGGGGAGGGGCTGTTTTGCACTGGGCTGTGGGTGTTTGTGTCTGTCTGTGTGTGTGTTTGGGCTGGTCTCCAGGCAGGGCCCCTTTCCTGCAGCTTGGCCTGCACTGAGGGCTTCCCCTCTCCGCCACCAGGCCTCTCCGCCGAGGTCCATCCCCATCCACGCCTCCTACTGTGGATGCTGCTTGGAGCTCTGCTGCCCTCATGCCCTGGGCCTGTGTGCTTTCAAACATTTCCCTACCATGTCCCTTATTTCAGTCACCCATGGTGGCCCGCAGGCCTTTAGATGCCACAAGCAAGACTTAACCCCCACTGTGTGGCAAGTCACTGCTTGTCCCTCCTCTCTGACCCCTGTGGGTGAGTGGCTCTCCCACAAGCTGCTCAGTTCAACTGCCTGTGGTGCTGGGGAGCAGATTCTGGTGGCCTGGTCTGGAGCCCAGGGACCCGTCTCTGGCCTTCCCATCCCACTGTGATAGGGGTAGTTGCTCTGCAGTTCCCCAAGGCCATGCTGGTGGCCCGGCATGGCCTGTTAGCTCCCCTGGCACTGTGGCATGATTCTGGGCTCCCTCATGGCCTTGGAGAAGCTTCTGGAGTGAGCTGTGGCAGAGAGGGGATTCCCCTGGCTCACCCGCAAGGAGCATGAGGCCGGCTCGTGACAGCCCTGGGCGAGGTGGCTGAGGTGTGGCATAGCACAGGCCACAGTTCCTGGGAGTTTCAGTCTCCAAGCGGCCACAGCCTTCCTCTGGGAACTGGAGGGGGTACGTGGGTGCACAGCCTCGGGCGGCGGCTGTTGCTGGGCAAGGACATTGAGGCAGCAAGATGGTTTTGCTCCCTCTCTGTCCCCACACCAGGGCCCCGCAGTCTGATGGTCTGGGTGGGGGGAGAGTGAATATGGGGAACCTGGTGATGGTTGAAAAGACCTTTACCCCAGAAATCAGAAGAAAATAAACTTGCAATTAACTGCATGCCCTTGGTCAGCCTGGCCCCTTGCTGTTCTGGGCGTGGGTTTCCTCTTTTCCCCGGGGGAGTGGTGGCCGCTGTCCTGCCCACCCCATGAGGCCGAGTGGTTGGGCAAGGGGCAGACTGGGGAGGGCAGCGCAGGCTGGCCGAGAGGCTGGGTGTATGTGGCCCTGCCTGCCCGGTGTTGGCACAGGGAGGGTGTGGATGCTGAGATTGTCATTTGGGGGCACGGTGCTACAGAAACAGCTGCCTTTGCAGGTGCTGAAGGAAGCTGACCATGAGGTGTGTGAGTGTGGGGGTGTGAGAATGTGCAGATCCGTGTGCGTGTGTGTGTGTGTGTGTGTGTGAATGGGCATATGTGGGTGTGTTCCCTACATAAATACACTCATTGATTCAAAGTCCACAGTGGGCTGAGGCCAGGACAGGTGGTAAAAAGGGAACATAAGACAGAGGTGAGCGCTTCCCTCAAGGAACCTCTAGTCTCTTGGTGGAAGGAGGACCCAGGAGAGTGGAAAATGACTGAGAAATACAGAAGAGATAAAAGCAGGTGGCTGGGGGAGTGAGAGGAGCAGGAGAGGGCAGGGTCGGCTGACTGAGAAGACTGCCCTGTGGGGTCATTTTGAGAAGCGCCTTGGACTGGCCCTGAAGGTGGGAAGGCGGTCCCGGTTGGGGGAAGGAGAGAAGGGGTCTGTTGAGATGGGCAGCCAGAGGCAGGCCAGTTGTTGGGTGAGAGTGGTGGGCAGGTTGGCGCGAATGAAGCAGGAGTTTAGGGCGTTCTGGCAGCGGGTGGTACAGAAGGATGCTCGGTGTGAGGTGTGAACTAACACAGTGAGTGTGGGTCCTCTTCAGACCTGGCCCCTCAGTGTGTTCAGTTGGTTCCCCTAGAACCTGGAAGTCTAGATGCCACATCCAAGGCTGCTGTGAGGAAACTGTGTACAGAAACCATTGTGAAACACAGATGAGCTCAGAGGCCAGAATCTGGGCCTTGGATGTGGACAGTGGGCAGACAGAGGTCAGAGCTGGGGGAGAGGAGTTAGCTTGGAGGCAGAGGGTGCAAGTCCAGTGTATGACAGGCCCAAGATAATGTCCACTCTAAATTTGGGATGGCCTTTGGGACAAATGTCAGTGAGCCTGGGCCAGCCCTTGTCAGATGGCACCAGTTCAGGCTCTACCTGAGCAGTGCCACCTCTCTCCAACCCCAACCCCCAACATAGTCATCCAAGTTCAACAAAAATAATCTCATGCTCCCTTATCATCTTCAGCTTGTCATTCATGATTTAGTCCCAGAGAGAGAAGCGACCCCACAGGATTGGGTCAAGTTAACTACCCTCCATGGATGCCCTTCTACCTGGGCTCCTGCGCACCGACCTTTCCCCTCCAACTTCTGGCCGCTGTCCCTGCCTGTTCATCCAGGGGACCTAGAACCAGGGCGGGCTATGTCACACATGCCCTAGGACTCCCCGCCCCACTCCACGGAAGGAAAACTAGTTCAGAGTAAGCCCCGGGGCCTGTGTTCATTGGCAGGGCTCCTCCTCCTGGCCTCCCGAGGGCTGGTCCCACCTGGGGCGCCTGCATCCCCCCAGCACTGTGCAGGTGCTTCAGAGACCGCCAGGCATTTGGAATTCAGGTGTCACCCACAAGCTGCTTATGCTTTTATGGTCACCCCGGGGTTCATCCACGCCACACATCTCACACCTCCGGAGGCCTCCTGTCCTCTCGTTCCAGTCTGTCCTGCCCACCACTCCAGTGCAGTCGTCTCTAAGGAGTGGCTTTTGCGTGTTACTTCTGCCCTGGGCCCATCTACCAGCTCTGCAAGGCACCCATCAAAGTCATGCCTCTGCTGGGCTTTTGAGACTGTCATAACCTTCCTCCACTTTCTGCTTTCATCCCCATATCAGGGGAGCTCCTTCTCACTTTCTTAAAAAAAAAATCTATATCTACTGTTTCCCCAGCCCAGAGCTCCCTTCTTCCTTCACTTGAGGATTCAGATCTCTTTCTTCTCCAGGGCCTGGCCCAAGCCTGGCCTTCTCCAAGTAGCCTCAGGGCCATATGGATTTGTAGATCACCTAGACCCAACCCCTCATTATCTAGGTGAGGAAACGGAGGTCCAGAGAGGTTAGCTGACTTCCCCCAAAGTCCAATCACTAGCGAGAGACTGGAAATCAACATTTCCTCACCCTGCAGTAAAATACCTTTCACTCTTCCTGGCTGAAGAGGGTGTGCCATCCTGGAGGGAAGGGGATCCTGGGAAGAGACAGGACTATCCCTAAGTCCACATGATCTCCAGTTGTCCTTACAGCCAGAAACACAGTTAAGTGCTTAATTATAAGTTGCTCTGCATCATATTTAAGTGTTTCCAAAGTAGATTAGAAGCCCCTCGAGGGCAGGGAACATTCCCCGTGCCCTGGACTGTGTCTTCTCCAAAGCCCTTAGCACAGGGCTGGCAACATGGAAGGCATCACATGGTGGGACTAGTACCTGGCCGGAGCTTTCATGTGGGAGAATAATTTACTGTCTCCA